CAAGTCACGGTCACCCTAATTTCGTATTATTCTAGATCCTTTTCCGAATTCTCCTAAACACCCCGCTACCGGTTTAGGACTCATAAGTTAGAAGTAATTCATCAATTGAGGAATATTAAAAAAGAATGATCCAACCGAGTTTCAGTTGAGTCTTTCATCAACATCAGCCTAATATTATCTTTTTTCTTACCAATCCATCGAGAGCATGAGGCTGATCTATTTTTGGAATGATTAGATTAATTAAACGGACACGTCGACCTTATCTACACCTTTCCAATCTTTTATTATTCACTTATAAGGAACGGTCCTTTCTATCAGCCAAACAACGTCAAACAAGGCACCAATAAGACTACACACTCTGAAAGGATGCTGAGGCACCCAGTTCAAAGCCTCGTCTGAGTAAATGTACCTTATCTTGTCGTCAAGCTAACTCATAAGTGAAAAACAGCTCTGTGGCCTCAATTCTAAAACTAATGTACGTACATACGTACCATTCTCACGAGGTTTTTTGTTTTTCTAGAGAAAGAAGGCGGTTATTGGAAGAAGAGAACCGACGCGAACAGCAGTTAGCAGAGCGAGAAAGAAAGTTGGCCGAAAATGAAAGCCTGTTTGAAATCAGGGTAAACCAGGAGATTGAACGGTGAGAACGGCTACTTACCCGTAATTTGTTTCAGATTAAGGATTGGAGAGCAACTACGCTTATCGCAGCAGAAGAATGAGCTGGAATTGTGTAAGCTTCGTCTTGATGGTATGTCGTACCTTTGAAACTGGTCTTTATCAGACCGAAAAGAAAACATGAAAACGCTGGAGTCAGAAAGACAGATGGTACAATCCATCAAGGTTGAGTTAATGGAGAAGAAGAAAAGGTTTTCAGAAATGGAAGTAAGACCAGGTGTCATTTTCCTCTACCAAAGTTGAGTGGTAAACTATGTTGATGATCAGCAGCCCTAATGTTGACAAACTGAGTTTGTTTATTTCATTCTACTCATGAGTACGCAGGTTTTAATGCTGTTTCCGCCACGCTTTTCATCTATTGATCACCACGCACTCGATTAGGTTCTTTGTGATTTTCAGTTTTTCCATTTCAGCTTGCAGAATATGACTTGCTGAAGGAACAAAAAGAGAGTCTAAAGAAAGATGTTGAACTACTCAAAAGGTTGGTTTTCTCGAATGGGCCATGATCTCGAGCAGATCGTTTTTCATGTTTACGGCCATGCTGTTTAAATCGACTCGTCACTTGTCAAATTTTCTTCAGAAAAAACTGTAGTTTGTATAGACGTAAATCACTACTCATAAGGTCATTGGAAAATTCTCGGCAGCGCACGAGCCCTTCTTGGAGCTCATCAGGCAGGCGCAGTCCTCGAGTTTCCGTCAACCGCATGTTCTAAGTGAACATCATAAAAGAAAGACTCAGCTTGGTTCCAGGTGAGTTTTCGGTCAAAACCAAATTGGCATTCAGATGAGTGTATAAGTCGAAGCTGTGGTTTGGTTTTCATGTCTGTACCGTGCTATCTGTGGTCCATGAGTAGGGATGAAAAAAGGTGACCAAAAGTTGAATTACGCTTTTCTTTCTTCATTTCAGTCAGCTGAAGAAAGCCCAAAAGGAGATTGAAGGTCATAAGGGAGGTAAGTAGAAGTCTCCTGTGCAGAAATGCGTACATCGATCAATCGATTTATTCAAGTGTATTCTAACTGTGGCTAACTTTGGTGTTTCAAGGTAGGATGTTGTCCTTAAGCTAATTTATTATCTCCAACCAGAAGGGGGATGTTTTGCGTTTCTTGTGTTCCATATGTCCTGCCAAGAACTTCGACATCCTAAGTTTCGTGGGACTCTTTCATTTTATCCAAGTGAAGAATCAACTCATATTGGTACGAACACGCTCGACTACTTGTTCTTAAGTGTCAATCAACCCAGACACTCTCTTCCTTAAGAGGCAGAAATAATCCCACCATTACCTTGAAGGAATTGTGGATCATGGACGAAAAACCGTGAATCCAGACAACTTGTACGCCACTTGAATCTGTCCGTGACTTTCATGGTGTAGCTGTAAGTGCTGGTGAGAAATTTGTCTGAAATTAAATCGGAGTACAACCGAATGAGCGTATTTCTTTAAACGGATACCTGTCCAACCTGGACAGTAACCGCAGACCTGATCACTGAGAATGAGTGGAAAGTGATGATGCTTTTTTTCAAAAACCTAATCAGGCAATATGCAATCTGATAAGAGCTTTAGGAAGGAATTCAGTCAATTTCGGGCTAAGGAAGCTTAACCCTGCTACAGTTCCAGTATGCTGTTCTACCCAAGGGCCATTATTTACTGTAAATGCATTTGAAAGTAGTCCTGTCATATCTACTGATTCGCCAATCTGTTGTATCTGACTGCTGACTCGCTCCAGTGCCTAGTGCCGGAAAAAAGACTCACAGAAGGGAACACAACAGCTATATTCCGAGTGCAAGAGCGTGAGTGAGTGTGAGAGAGTGTGAGTGCGAGTGCGAAATACAACGGTCTTAAGCTAATTATTGGAGGGACACACTTTAACTTAGTGCAATGCTGACGCACGCGATCTGGCTTTGGCATGAGGCTCCGACGCACTGCATATTGCGAGGGCGTTTTCTGGCCTTGATCAACGCTGACTCGCGCTGTCTGGGTTTGATACAAGGCTGTGACGCGCTGCATATTGCATGGGCGTTGTCTGTCTGGTCAACATCTAGCGGAGCTGGGAGTCTCAGTAGATTTCGGGCCTTCGGCAGTTGCTTTCAGGAATCTGGCCTTACTGATAAGTTTTTTTCTAGAAAACGGAGCCTTTGGCCTACAACTAGAAATACGTTTGCAAAACAATGAGGGGTTTGTGGTATTCCCACCCAGTTCGTAAATCCCGCGCGCTGTCACGCAACGGCTGATATAGAACTATATGGAAATCTACATTCCTTGGAACTGGTGGTTCGATGAGTATAGGCTTCGTAAATGCTCACCCCCGCTACCTAGTTCCGTCTAGCGTTTCAATCCCTGCGTGCTTTTTATGCAAACTACAACGATCTCTGTCACGCAACAGCTGATATAGAACTATATGGAAATCTACATTCCTTGGAACTGGCACATACTAAGTGCGTCTTTCACAACTAATTTTGATAGCGCACTCACATGATTTGCAGGTAGCCCGACAGCCAGCTTCGAGAAGAACTTTTTGACCATCTACCCGTGCCTGAAACTGTTGTCTTTTGTGCCCTAGAGGAGAGTACCTTTGCATTCGCTGAACAATGCCAAACGTGCGACTAGAATCGAACATGGTTGCCCGTTCGGATGTGATAACTCAGATCTGTCCAGCTTGCGCTGGTGTATTAGTGGCAACGTACTCACACTGAATGCCACTCGGGGTTCAAACTCCAGGACGGCCAAGGACACGCATTGCTGATGAGCTCAAAGTAGAGCAAAACCGGAGTTCAGTCACTTTGGTGTGGACTCACCAGAATAGGTACATCAGCATAGGAGGGTAACTGTTCGAACGACAGATTGTGAACGCGAATTTTACGAAATCTACGATTACCTACTACTAAGAGTCGAAAGTTCTTGGGACCCAATGGACAACGGATGGGCCTGTTGACATCCTACCCCAATGCGTATCTGTACGTACCATTTTTATTTGTGGCAGTTCAAGGCGGCAATCAGTCAATAATCAAACAGCCTGTTTTGAAAAGCTTGTCGCTGCGTAGAAGTTTTCAAGACAGATTAGTAAAGTCTTGGAAAGTACAGTTCAGCCCAGCTGAGTTGGTTATTTTCTTTATGAAAACATTCCCTTATGCGAAGTTAAAATCAATAGTAGTCAAAATGGCTCTGTAGTTTCGGAGGCATCTTCTCTTTGTTCAATACTACATATTTACTACATCCATCAAAAAAGGGTGGAGGCAAACTGTTGCGCAACAAGAAAAGGTCCATAAAAATGTCTGCTCACATCTTCCCTCAAGACAACAGATAACAGGCGCTTTCAGTGCATGTGATTGGTGAGAGTCTTGTCGAACAATTTCTTCTTACCTGCATTTGACACAGCGATGTTACACTGAGACCCAACATTATCTTATTTGTGTGACTCTGTCCTGCTACCTAGAGCGGTTTGCCTTTCAGTGTTGATGTATATATATATATATAATGCATACGTATAACTTCAATAACATACAAATTGATTTTCGGTCTGGAAATAAGGTTGACGGAACCTCAGGAACTCCGTCTATCTGTCAAGTCCAACAGAGATGGGAACACTAGGGCACTGTTGCCAAATTTTCCAAAATCTTAAGAGGTGTTATTCTTGTAAATGAGATTGATGTGTTGATTTGGCAAAGGCATTGAAATACAACCCTGGTGTGTCTCTTTGATCAGTGTCAATCAGGAAGTAGCGACCAGTGGATTACTTTTTTAAAACGAATTACTACAGGCTGCCTCACAAGTGAACTGTTCAACCCTAAGTTCACTTCGTTAGTATCATGTCCTCCAAGAGAACGTGAAGTACCCAAATTGCCCAAGGAACTATATCCTGAAGGGAAAATAAATTTGCCGGTGTGGAAACACGTATCGGTAGCTTTTATGCAGTTTCGGAAGCAAGTTTTGTCGCGGGAAAAAAGCGATCGGCAATGAAATATAGGCAGTAGATTTTCGTGCTTAACCGTCGCTACTACTAAAAATTCCTAGTGAGCTGGTTGAAATATGATTTTACACATAGTCCTTCATGGAAATATCAAGGTTGCCGAGGCACGTGCCGAGACAAATGCAAATAGGTTTTGATGTGTACTCGACTGTCTGCGACGTGATGACAGAATCGGTGCGTGATTATTACCCAGACACCTCAAAAGTTGCACATTACCCTACCTGATACGGTTGTCATCCAGGATAAGCTTTCTTTTCCGGCCTTGTGGCTCCTGCATTTTTGTTTCTTGTATCAACTGAATTGTTGTGTCCCGTTGCATATCAAATTATCCCGTTGTTATTTGAATCCGCCTAGAACAATTCTTCCACAGTGAAAAATAAACATGAGATGCAAACTAGAGCCATAATTTCTGTCTGTCGTGAAGATTGATTAGCTTGTTTCCTGGTCACGACATCCGCCTGCTTTGTGTACTGTTGCATCGAGCATCTTCAAGTATATCATGGATGAAAGAACAGCAGGCACCGTGCTTTTGAATTCTCTAGCACCATTTCTGGTGTCATTTAGTATCATCCCAGGTATCATTTATGGCTCCGATAGGTTAAATATGAGCTTAAGGTAGCAAGAACGACCTACACTTCGTAGTCATAGTGTATTTTAGAGTCAGAATTTCAAATTGTCTGAAACTGACCTCATTTGTCAGCAACTTAGTATTGATGAACATCCAGATTAGAACTGATTTTATAAAAAATGGATTATGCTGTAAAATCAATCTCAAATCGAAGTTATTAACCCCTACCACAACGCGGTTTGCCTGAAAACAATGTACGTAGAAAGAATTCAATTTGCGATTTATCGTACGGCTTTGCATATTGCCAGATAGTCTATTCATTCATTCATTATGAAACGGCACCTCGTTTAACAGTTAGTTAAGTTGAGCAAAATTGTTGAATTGCTGCACATTAGTCCAGGTTTCTCTCTATCTGAAACTAGTGTTCGGATTAAATTTTGAACTTCCATGCCTAACCGCTTCGAAAGGACAAGAAAACGTAGCTTCTCGTGAAACACAATCAATAGTAACTCAATGTAGGTGATCACCGTACTTGCGTTCCCAGTTTTAAGGAACAAACTTTTGTCTAATTGAAAGTGAGGATCTTCGAAATTCATTTAACAGGAATTAAGCTATGTGCGCTTTGAAGCCACTGCCCACGTTTCTTTTTAGTTTAGCGTCCTAACGTTGCTGGTAACAAAGTTGTGTTACTTTACTAATGGTTTGGTGATGAGCGGTCTGGGATGCACATGATACACATGTATGCTCTTTTGGGCACTTGAAAATCTACCGACTTTATTTTGGTACTCTGTCTGTTTACGTCTTCGTATTTTACGCTACCTTTCCTATTGTCCGATACGGGTGAAGTACCATCCGTACAACAGAACTGTCTACAAGCATTTGAGCTCACCAATGCGTCAAAATATATTTAGCATCTGCAAGAAGGTGGATCACCGTTAAGCCGTGGGGCATTTTGCGATTTCCTGAGGTGCACCGAAGTCATGTGACCGCTCCTTCGCACAATTGGTTCAGTTGATGACCTTGTCTGGCATTACATACCGATGAGTACCGGACCTGAACGCCCGGATTTAATGTAGTATCTGAACATCTTATCTTGTCACCAGCAACCAGCATTCGATTGAATGCTAAGCGCTGTTTGAGTTTGCTGATTTCTCGGAAGATGGATCCTGTTAGCTATTAGCAGTGCACATCGGACATATAGTAAAGTTCGAGGTCCGGAATGTGGTGAGAACTTTAGGAGGACCATCGTATTTTTGTGGAATTTTGTATCCAACGCCGAAAAAGGCACCTCGTCAAAATATGAGTTCAGAGTGAGGTGATATGGGGATGGACTTGTCAACAGTTAGAGAAAGTTACCCATTCTTACGAGTGCTGTGAACATCCTAGGAGTCTAATGGGCTAGTATGCTCCTGAAGAGAAAGGCTAGCCAGAACAATGGGATATCATACGGTAAACATTTCGCTTCTATGTAGCACGATTCTAATAAATTTGAATGTATTTCAGCACTTACAACCGCTCAACTTGAATTGGATGCAGTCAAAACCTTGAAACAAGAAGTGGAATTGCTTCGGACCTATTTGAACAACGAACGTGCCTCTTTCAGCCATGAGAAACGGCAACTACAAACACAAATAGATGAACAGGTTTGTTATCTATGATGCACATCCGTTAGATACTAGCAACAAACAAATAATAATCTCTGTGCTATATGAGCTTCGAGTAACTGAGCCGTGGAATGTATATAAGAGAAAACGACTTTATAGGTATGTGCTCTCATTCTTGTTGAGCGGGCAGCTTTGAGGTTATGCAAGTCGGCTCCTATATGTGGTTTTCCATCACGCTGCGCATCTAGTAAGCCTAGATGGGTCCTGATGCGTCCCTTGGTTGTTATGCGCATGATTCACTCTTTAAGGTACTCCTATTTTCTCATTTGAAATTTGAAAAGAAGCTGAAAGGTTTTCAGGCTGCAGGGGAATATCTTCTACCAACTGACAACCATTTCTTTGGTGCGCCAATGAGCCGCTCTGCAGTGAAGGTCTTGGAAGGCTCTCCAACCTTGCGATTCCCCATAAAATGTTGCCGAGACACCTAAATATTGAGTAGTATCAAGTTGACTATAGCGTTTTAAGTATTACCTGGAATCAGTCTATACATTACCTGGACCGGTTGGCCCCAAGTTGATGTTACGCCAACATGATGTTTAACTTTCATAGCAAGTACGGTACAACTGACTGGCTTGCTTAGAGGACAAAACGTCTAGAATAGATGAACTCGGGGTTGTCCCGCCTAACGTAATGACTTCCAACTTAAGATGACTTGAGATTGGTCGTAGGTTTTCTCGCTGTTCTCTTGCAACCTGAACCGCCAATATTCGCTTCACTAACAACAGCTGAAGTTTTCCAGGCCTTTTATATAAGAACAAGATAACGCAGTTTTAGATAACTCACTCCTTTTTGTTCCTTAATTAACTCATCATCCTCAGTAGAGATTTTGCCTTGTCAGTGAACCCAATCAGTGCTGAAAAGCCGAGTAGTAGCGTACGCCTGTTTTTTTCCCTTTTGGGAACAATAAGCAGCGCCTACTTCACGAAACTCAGAGCTTCGAACCCGGCAGTGGTTGAACACTTAGTCGTCTGGCCCCGAGTAGCTGACGGCTCTCGCTTAGACAGCGTGTGTCCAAATTCCAAGATTTGAGCGTCCATTTTAAAAATACATCAAACTATCGCAAAACGATGAAATGGTGCGAAGAGGTAGGTTGATAGATGGCACATATGCATGCTGATTTAGGCTCATTCAATTAAAACGGGAGGTTACTGACTCGAAATGGAGGTTGAAGACAGACCCATGGACGCCCCAGAGTTTCTAAGCACGATCCATTCATCTGCTGATTTTTATAACCTTGACACAGGTGTTTGGATCAAGTAAGTTCACCCCCCCCCCACATATGTCGGCAGGCAAGTCACGTAGTGCAAATAGTACCTCGAAATCATTCGATAAAAAATATTTTTTGCGTAAATACCCGGAGAAGTGGAATTCTGGCAGTGTGCATTTTAGGATCTCCAGAAAGCAAACGAAGACAGTGATGGTCTAGATATTGGGTTTGATTGGGTTTTTAAAGCCTGTGTCAGTATGAATTTTTCCGCATATTTAGCAGACATTACAAGCTCCCACATAAAAGAGGTTCGCGGCATCTTGTCCGGTTAGACGCCAATTGTTCAACAATGCTGGTTGGATGGTTCTAGAGCCCTCCATTTTTTCGATGCTTGGCCCTTCTGTAACCCGGTCAGCAGGTTTGAAGCCAGTGCTGTTTGCCGATAGGAGCCAGTGCTGTTTGCCGATGTAGCTAGTAGTCGTGACGATTCCATCTACTGATATGACAAGCGTAATCAAACCATCTGGTTGCATACCTGAATTCGACTCAGAAAGCATGCGTTTTTGCAAGACCTTATACCCGTCAATAATGATTCCACCTACTTAGCAGTGGAAATTCAAGCTATCCTTTTATTGAGGACCTTGAAAAGCATTCATACTTGAATATTCTGTACTTTACTATTTTTGAACACTACTAAACATGTACACAGTTTGGATAAAACGGGTAGAGGAAACAGAAGAACAACGGAATGAAGAAGCTAGTTCGGAATAGAGAGCCGGAATGACTATTTCAACAAACCAGTCTGTGTAAACAGCGGGCAGCTTGTCTGAACTCCTCATCCATTTGTTAATATTGACTGGAAAGTCCTTGCAGATGTGTGGATAGTGATAACTATATGTATAAAAAACCGCTTTTTTCAGGCTAAAGAAAACAGAGAATTATCTGAACGACTTTCTCGAAGTGAGAAAGAGGTTGCCCATTTACGGAGAAGTCTAACTGATATTTGCACGGGTCATCGTCGAGAGGAGGTCGCGAAGGTTGCACACTTCGGGCTTTTGAACTCTGGAGACGCTGATCAAGGTGAGATCTATGTACCTAAGTGTTATATCTGCTGATTCGCCAATCTGGGGTATCTGCTGCTGACCCGCTCCAGTGCCCAGTGCTTGAAAAAAGACTCACAGTTGTATTCCGAACAACTGAGTGCAAGAGCAAAAGTTAAAACGGCCCCACGCTACTTAAAGGCGACTTTCTGACATTGATCCAGGCTGTCTGACAGGTGTTACTGAACACCCATTAACATCGATCGTGCCTCCATGAAATGCCTGAACAGTGATCACATTCAGTCGTGCTTCTGTGGCATGCATGAGGACTCATTGGCTTTTGCTGAATTGATTGAATGATTGACTGGCCTGCATGTTCGCTGACTATGCTGTTGAAATTTTGGTGGAGCAGTAGGTTCGGGGCGTTCTGAGGTTACTTTCAGGAATCTGATCTTCCTGATACCTCCCCCTTTTGGCCACTCAATGTACAATTTTCGGCGTGGGTCAAGTTGAAAAGGTTCTACTAGTCGTCTGGCGCGACCGGTACGGCGTCTCGGTTGCAGCAGTGGATCCGTCCTGATACTGAGTCTGATCAACATCTTGTTAGCTACGTGGAATGGAAAAAAGTCACTTTAACTCTGAAGCATCACTTCAGTTTTGGCACAGACCGGGTCGTAGAAATTCAGCAATACCTGAACAACATCAAATATGGAGTGCTTTTAGCAGTATTACTGAAGGGGAAGAAATAGAATCGGTAAACATGTCCGTAGAACAACTAGTTGAGGCAGCTATCGTCTCTGAGGTCACTCACGGAGGGGAACCCTCACCTAGCTACTTCCAACGGACTCCCGACCATAATGGGACAATTTTACTCCTTGCTTTCACCAAAACTGCTCTGCCCCGCTGAAGCTATAAGTGACCTGCACACAGAGGGTGTGACCTAATTCACGATTCGAAAACTTTAATTGCATCCAGCAGTACGACGCTCATTTGCAGTGGTAGAAACAAACTTTTTATTGTCTAAATTTAAGAATGAGCTTCTAGTACACTTAATGCGGTTGGCGATGTGTGGTGTATATTCTTTCCGGTTAGAGAAATAAACCCGAAGCTATTCGGCTAATGAAGAACGCGCAAGCAAGTGCATTAAGAGGGCTGGAATTTCATCCCACGACCATGACTTCAATGTGAGGCAGAAAAGTACAGTGGTCATCATCGACAACATGACATCAGTGTTCAACACCGATACTTCACTGCCGTAAAGTAAAGTACAGTAGTAATCTGAAAGTGGTCGTTCCATAGAGATAGAACCCACCTTTTGGACATTCACAACCGTGGTCCCAGTTAGCCATGAATAGTTGTACAGTTTTCAGAAGAAAGCCTATTTACATGTTGAGAACAAGCAGGTTGTTAGATGAATTTCGTGTTGTTCCGTCAGAACCAAAACCAGTAACGGGTTTTATGGCCACTTTTTAAAAAAAACAAATTTTATCATATGATTACGAATCGGACAGGTCAGCCGACATGAAAAGAAAAAAAGAACTGTTGCTTTATCAAGTACAAGGCACAAGGTAAATCAGGTTGCTTTTACCGAGTTATTGCGAATATACCGACAAGCCTCGTGAAATGCAGACCATAGTGACTTCCACCCGCAAATCGATCCATTTTTTTGAAAAGACACAAAGAGGCACATGTTCTCTCGTTTCAGTGGTGATATACCTATCTATAGTTCTATTGTAACGTTCTCCGCAGTTATATAAAGATTGGAAGCACTGTTGGATTTGACTGCGGTAGGATGAGGGTAGCGGCATCTCCTGTCTCCGATCGACAATTTGTAGTTCTGCGGCAATGCGCATCCGCTTTATTATCATTGCCAGACGCTGTTCTCATTGCGCCATCTCCCTTGAAGAGAAGCACAGCTAGCACTAGCTAGGTTTGGCATCTTTAACGCGAGTCCTGATCAAAATCGAAGCATACCCGTTTCTTCCCAGAGTCTTCTTGCGGGGTTCCAATTCAAGGACAAGTTGCTATAAAACCTGTCGTCCTATTGTTTACCCAGTCGCTGATAATGGAGTACGAATTGCTTACATATGTGTTCTCAGTTCATTATCCAAACTTTAGTCGGATGCTGCGATCGACTACAGCTTCAAAACTGTTCAGTTTCGGGCCACCCGCACAGCCAAGTAAGTGATACTGATACTGATACAAAAAGCGGAGTAGTAAAAAGTGAGACCCATGTGGTGCCGTGTGTACAATGTGTGCAGTGTAATAAGAAAAACCCCGGACTTTGTGTGCTTTGGGACACAACTACCAGGTTTGCTTCTGGATAACGGTTATAGATTCGAAGATATCAACCTTAAAAACAAACTGAAGCTATCCTAGTGGCATTTTGTCTTTGCAACAGTAACCCAGAGCTATTCAGTACTTGGGAATGGTTGAATGTGATTCGTTTTGGAGCATACTGTCAAAATTCAGAGATACCAATTCTGTACGTGACTGATAATCGAGTAACAGCGTGTGTGATGATATCACCAGAATTGTACCGGCATTCATCGCGAAACACAAGAGCGAATGTACTACTACGAAAGCTTTGAGGATGTGGTGCCTGATCGACAATGTTCGTCTCTCCAGTGAATTGACAATCTAGACGGAAGGAACAAAATCCATTATGTAGTAAAGTGAGTGGCTAAAATGAGACAAAATCCGTCGCTGGGACCTCCCCACTGATACTAAGATTTGCATTACTGCAGTGGAACCTCTGTATCGTCGCTGTTGTTGCTGTCTCTGTTGTTGATTATGATGAAAACTCCCATTCAGGGTAAGTAACCCCATACCCCACAGTCCAGTGGACAAATTGTGGTGCTTGTATGACCGCAAGCTCATTCGTAGGCAGCTAACAAGGGTTTCTGCATGCCAGCGATCTGATTTGTTTGGATTGTAGATGTGTAAAACGTAATTTGAGTGAAGGCTATCCTCTTGGACAGGCTATGTAAGTTTTATGTAGTAGTGTGGATAGTCTCCCAACTGCTGTGCTACCGAATCCTTCTCCTACAGTTCCCACATCCACGATTCTTTAGTGATGGATGAAGCCTGCCTGTATCGCCCTGCTCAACACTTATTCGTTTTCTGATTGGGTTCATAGCAATCTCATCGTTTGCTATTCGGACGCTTTAAAGGATCTTAAACAGTATTTTAGAATGCCTTTCCCACAAACAATTGTTTTAATAACCAAAGGGAGTAACTGATTAAGACTGATATACTTGGTGAATACAATCAGTATGGAAGATGGCGTCCAATGGGCCAATCAAGAAACGTTCTGAAGGGCAACAGGATTTACTGCCGGCAATACAAACGACAATGTAAATCTTTCTTTGTGATTGTCATAACCGACTTGTAAACGGACATTTCTACCCTCTACAGTAATTGGTTTTATGAATGAAAACGGGTCTTTTAAGTTAAATAACCCCATCTTTGAGGTTCATGTTTTGTGATTGTCATAACCGACTTGTAAACGGACATTTCTACCCTCTACAGTAATTGGTTTTATGAATGAAAACGGGTCTTTTAAGTTAAATAACCCCATCTTTGAAGGTTCATGTTCCGCACGATTCATGTCATCTTCCAGAGACGAAAGGCGTCCCGCTTACGGACAGTGAACCCAGTAGTCGTGACAGCCCGGTGAACTTGAAAATGAGGGCACCAATGCACCATTCTTCAAGATCCCCTCAAGGAACTCAAGCTGACTACTGGGCAAAACGTCTCGAAGAAGCCCGGCAGAGAATGGCGAAGCTCCAGTGTGAGTCAGAACGCCTTGAAACTGTTTACGAACGTTGGCGAGCTTCGAAATGGGGAGAGGCTTCAACAATGGAGCCACAGGAGACCTATGGTATCTACTCTACGCCACTCACCGGTCCTACGTCGAGCATCAGTTGGCATTCACAACTTCCTGTCCGATCAACGCTCTCTGGGCTTCTATTGCCAACCTCAGTAAGTTAGAACAGTCGCCATCTTTAGTCCTAAGTCTTCATTCAGTTCGCTTGATGGGAATCTTCAAAGAAGCTGGTAACTCATTACTTCAATTAGCTTCCGAGGGCTCACGATAGGCGTTCTTAAAACACTGGTTGCTGTCCCGGAATGAGTGAATAAACTGGGTGGATTTTCCAAGGGCGTCCTGTGAGCCCACTGATTCGCTTCAAATGGTTTTTCAGGCGATCAACGAATCGGTGAGGAAATGAATGGTTATCACCAGAATTGGTTAGGTAGCGCTGCGGACTGGATAAAATGAAGTCGCCGGTTGATCACGCACAGACATGTTACAAAACGTCAACCTGGACTAAAAATGATAACAAAACAATAAGCACTAATACGGTTTACTTGTCTTCCACTAAGTTATCGGTGTCATTTTTTAGTCCTGTAGTTTTCGACGCAGTAACGCGCCTCCCCAGTATAACGAGAGCTGCCGAATGACACCATCAGGTTGATAATGGATCAACTGGTGATATTCCATAGGCGTTACGGTCGTCGTCCTCAGAACAACAGCTTCTCACTAGAAAATGGAACAAACGGACATCCGTGTAAACAACTAGTGCAGTTTTACACAGACAGAATAATGGTGGCGTGACATTTCAATCGTCTATCCATATTCGTCTAGCATTTTGATCTTCTTGAGCGATGTAGATGATGAATTATGCGTGGAAGTGGCATCGAAGCCCCGCGCTCAGCTGGCAATCTTACATTGGCCATTGGATCCTTGACAAAAACATTGCTGTATTGGCGGTAACCTATTCTTCAAACGGTTCACATACTGAAGTTCACAAGCCCCTTTCATTGAATGTTCAAAGTTATTCTTCGTTTAGAAGTTGTCTGACACGAATGGTTCACTCCACTATAAGTGTACTAGCGTCTCGCTCAGTTGTAATTGCATACAACGCTTTCACAGTGATGTACGAAAGTAGTAAAATGACTTAAATTTGAAGCTAGACTAAGAACACAATACCTTTTGAGGTATTTATGCATTTTCGTCAGACGGACAGTCAATTTTGAACTGGAATGTAGCAGATTTAATGGGTGTTCTCCCCAAATTCAACCTCATCTGCTTTTTGCACCAGGTGGTAGTGACTTACTCCCAATATTTCTTTGGATCTTGTGGCTCCCCCACTGAAACTTTATGCCCTCCCAAGAGGAATTAGACAACCTTTCCACATTCGGTATGAGAGTGTGGTATGCTCTTGGGGGACCCATTTTAACTGACATGGGTTCAGCAGAAGGCAATGAAAGAGTAGTAAAGTTTTGAAGAACACTCACACGGAACAGTTTGAAAACACCCTCAGGAGCGCCCACATTTAACTTCACTAAGGTCCCTTGTCCATTTTTGCAAGCCGTTCCGAGTTTCAGTGTTCTGTTCTCTAGGTTGAAGACACAGTGTTTTAAATCTTACGGAGTTTTTTCCCTGGGTGTAGTAAATGGTTCAACCATGTTGTTCACCATTCCATAAATTTTGTCAGGATCACTTCCCTAGTGTTTTGCTTGGCGGTATACTAATGGCGAACAACTGTCCTAGTATTGATAAATGAGTAGTCAATCAATGAGATTATCTACCGTTTTCTCACTTACAGTACGTTCAGGATTTCAGCGCTGAGAAGCCATCAAAATCATCGATGGATACACCTCAGCAGGATGAGCGGGAACCTTCAGAAAAGCCTAGTCAATCACATTGGTGAGATGTGTTTTTATAATCGAATTGCATGTATATTTCTGGTACCCCATCAGGCTGCGTCTGTTTGCTTGTATATGAATGGAACACGATAGAGATGGGCGCTGGACGAACCGATCACATCGCCCAAGCGTGAATGCATTGGACATGATAGTTCAGATGTGTTGAGGAGTCGTGGTAACTAACCCACCCAGCCAATCAGATGGCTAGCATCTGGATATTGGCATTGTCAAGAATGTTGACTGCTGATGAGCACTAATAATAGCCTGCGACAGATAGCAAGACGTCTTACCCACCGACGTTTCCTGCGCTTCTGCATTTGGGTGAGGACAAACCAGAATAGAGAGAGAGGAGGAGTCGCCATCATAGGGTATGAGGCCTTTTGGCCACTCCTGAGTTATGGCATGCCACCAAGAGGTGACTCATTGATGTAACGTTGCATCAGATTTTCTGGTGATATTTCTCCTCTGCCAGGAAAAACGCAGCAATCATTGTCTGAATTTACGATATTGTATGACAGATAAGAGACAAAGTACATGTACTCTCTTTGGTTCTCATCAGCAGGTTCACTTGTTGGTCAAAAGAAACCAAATTAGTTTGCAAATGAGTGTATTTTGCTATTTTCGTGCAATTTGGTTTCAAGTCGAACATAAGGTAGACGGAAACGCGGGGACAGTGCCTACTTGATGAGCCCCAAGAAGGGAGAAGCCGGTCGTGGACTGTCGACGAACTAAACACATGTTTGTAACGTAGCTCGTAATACATCTCCGCCTTCCGTGACAAAGTGACCCCCGAGGGGTTGTCATACACGTCCCGGTTTGTTCCAATACTGACTAGGTTTTCATTTACACTGGTCACTTATTAGCTGAAATGTACCGAATCATGTATACTTTCTCAGTGACTCGACCCTACTGAAACTTTTCTGAAAGTCACGTGCTGCAATTTCAATAGTCCATACGTGGCATAACAAATAGCAGGTTCAACTGCAGCACCCTTCTAGTGCCTAGCTGCCATATCCTTCTCCCGCGAAGGAAGCAAGAGGGCTGAGACACTCTCAGGTTGTCCAAACGTGAACAGAAAAAGTCAAGATTACGGGATTGGGTGCGAACTACAGACCTGGTCAACAAGTTCACGCATTACCTACTGAGCCATCTTGAGTTCTGATAGACGACACACCTGATACCGAATTTAGAAAGATAAACGGGATTTATTCTGGATCGATACCGTTCCCAAGGGAATTTCGACGTGCAATGTCGTCCTAATTCTCAGGTTAACTTGAAACAATGACTGATTGTTTGCTAGACACACTAGCGCGTATAATGTCGTCCAGTTTGGGGCTTGCAAACAAGTCCGTGGCACGCAATAACGCTGAATTGAGTTCTAATTCGAAGAAAGGATGGTGTGGCTTTGTCCTGAGAGGTTAGCCCGGCGCAGCTGCTGAATTGTTTGACTAGCTTCGAACATTTTCAAAACTATCACTTCACATCCGCAACACCTGGCCTTGTATTTTATTCTATCACCAGAAGAATCGTTTTTGTTCCATGGTACTGCAATAGAAAAGAACCGTCGTCTCTTCCGTTGGTTAATGTTTTCCGTTGCACTCACCTTTGCTGATAGCATGAGTTATGCTACGAGCTTTGCAGAACGTTGAAAATGTCGGCTAGCATGCAAACCTCCAAGAAATAAGGGACTTCACTTCGTTGGGCTGCTCTTAACATAGATACATTGTTCGCTCCTCTAGCCAGGATATGCAAACCCTGTTACTCTGTTCTTTAGTGGTAGTCCAGATATAAGCATATGTCTCGCCCTGGCACACCCAAACCATCCTCGGTTTTCAGCGCCACATATGTGCATAGTCTCCTATGAACAAGCTTTCTTCGACTGCTGACCCAACCAGCCTACTACTTTTCTTGAAGAAGCAAAGCTATACAATCTCCTACGGAGTCAATATAGACCCTCCAAAGATAGGAACTTATGGAGGAAACGGAACGGGAACATGTACGGTGAACTGTCTTGAAGGATTTATTCATTTCAGTGGGCTAATTGCAGTTAAGCGTGTTATTCGAATCAGTGATTTTACCAAACGCGACATACATGAATCAGAAACGGCATCTTTTGACAAATGGTGGCTGCTTTCACTTGATAGTTGTCTTCCACTTATGGTTGGATAGTGTGTAATCCATAAAAAACAGTACAACCAACCAGACACTGTCTTATAGTGAAGATTAAACCAATACAGAGCGAAGAACGAAAATAGGAAGGGATAGACCTCCTGAACACCCATAGGTTTGCGAAAGTTTTCAGAAGCTTCCGATTTCACTGAAATACTTCACTCCTGAAAAAAAACACGTTTTGGCCCGCGTGTCATCCAGTGGAGAGGAATGAATAGATGGTCTCAGTGACCAAAATGGTTGTGCTGATGATTCGTTGCTGTAACTCCGTATACTACTGATGAAGCCAGCGAGTAGTCTGCGGTCGTATTGAAGCTCTGCCCCACGTCCAGTAGAAGGTGAAGTTTATCACAGAACTTGCAAAAATGCTTTGCACTGTCCGTTTATAATTGTGACTATCCACGTAAGTTCAATAAAGCGGTTTAGGTTGTTCAGTTTTTTGAAAAACTATCCGCATATGAGAGGTTTACTTTCCTGTCCAATGGCTTGTAACTGCTTAGTTGTAATAAACAACTTCGCGGCGAAAAGTTCTAATCCCCTCACTGGTAAGCATCCTTTCACGGTAAGCAATATTCTGTGGTAGTGAAGCTGCTTCTACTTGGGAATCTTGTTCGATTAGGTGCCAGGAACAAAGCTTGGTTAAAATAAGCCCATACCATCCTCATATTCTAATGATCCTGGGGTTACATGAGTATTTATCCAACGGTAGGTAGTACAAAACGAATCTACTGTCAATGATCCGAGAAAATTGCGTTGCCGCACAAGACTTTTTTGGCGTTTTCAATGTGAATGAACACTGGTGTAACTGTTTTCCTTGTTTCGGAGAAATGCGGACGCATGCATGAACCGGTTTTGGAAACCAGAGTCTTCATCCTACCAATCACTGATGTTACTGTCATTCTCGATATCTTCCTCCTTTGCTACGTTTTATTTATGGTGATACCTATCAACATCTGCATCCGAAAATTTTCGCTACGTCTCTCCTGCTTTGCCATACCTCAAAATTATGACCTTTTTGAATTGGACGATCTATCCAACCATAAAACCATCCAAAATTTGTGGATTTGACTACAGAAAAATGTGCATTACTTGAGACTACCAACTAGGGAGCACTAGTTGTTTCTGACCGTGTTCTGGACGACTGAACCT